GTATTCACTTTTGAGGGATGTAGTGAGGCTTGGTTTATCAGTTTTTGTTTGTTTGTTTGTTTGTTTGTTTTTTGAGATGGAGTCTCCCTCTGTTGCCCAGACTAGAGCTCAGTGACACGATCTCGGCTCACTGCAACCTCCACCTCCCAAGTTCAAGCAATTCTCCTGCCTCAGCCTCCCAAGTAGCTGGGACTACAGGCGCCTGCCACCATGCCCAGCTAATTTTTGTATTTTTAGTAGAGGCAAGGCTTCAACATGTTGGCCAGGCTTGTCTCAAACCCCTCAGGTGATCCGCCCACCTCGGCTTGCCAAGGTTCTGGGATTACACGTGTGAGCCACCACACCCGGCCATTTATCAGTTTTTAATATGGTGTTTCTGATGCTTAATAAGAAAATAATCCAAAGTTCAGATTTTCCTTTGTGATTAAAATAATCATGACCAAATATCTCAAAGGTATGATTTTTTTAAAAAAGTCTGATTTTTACTTTCAGGGAACAAGAAATCTCCCTTGATTCATCCTAAATACCTTTAATCAGAGGTAATTCAGTGTGTGCAAGATTTATACTGTTTGCTGGAAGTGAAGTGATTTAAAAAAAGACATGGTTTTAATAAACTCTGCACTAGGCTAAGGTTCCAACTCTCTCCCTGGAGGATGTTACGTCTCACAGGAAGATTATAGAGGCGATTGCAGTATGAAGGCAACCAGCCATGTCGTTGCTGTCTGACAAATGGGATGCAATTTTCTTGTGCTTTACACCTGGGGCCCAGTAAGTACAGCTACAGAAAAATGGTTTCTTCCTTATCCTTCTTCGCAGCAGCGGCTGGGATTCACTGGGAAGCGTGCTGACTGGTGGATATTTTGGCTCCAGAGCATTTGGGGACTTTTCACTATGATGGAAGAAATTTCAGAAATGAGATATCATTTTGAAAGAGTAAGGATTAGCTTAGGATGTACTTACATGCCTAAGGGCTACCAAAGGTTTGGGAAAGTCCATCAGATCATGTTTTTCCTAACTCCTACATCCTCCCCTCTAGCCACAGCCTTGCTTTCACTGGGCTCTGCCCACCAATGCCCAAGCCAGCCCTGAACATGCCTGGCAGTGTAGATAAAAATCAGATCTCCATCAATGGGTGAGGTCTGAAACAGATTTTGCTTCCTTAAGCCTCATAGCCAGGGACCTAAGAAACACCTGGTCACCCAGATAATGCTCCCTTCATCCCACTGTTTTGGCTGGGTCTTCTGCCAGGCCTCAGTCTCCAGTGGCCAGACCTTCTTCCCTGAATTTTAATAAATGCTATTACATGGGAGGCCACTTCAAAGCTGGCAGATGGCCCTGGAACCCTGACACTATCTACTACCTGACATACCCTGTCCATCACACTGCACCCCTGGGATACCTACACCAACCTGGGTGTGGTCCACAGCAGCCTGGCACTGCTCCACCACACCGCAGGCAGGTAGGCCTCCCAGCACCTGGGTCGTCTACTCCTGGCTTCCTCCCCCGCAATGGCTACTGTTGAAGCTGCGCCAGCTACAAATCCGCTCTCCCAGGAGAGAAGTTTAATTGGATTAATTTCCGTCTCTTTTTTTTTCCGGGATTATTTTAGTGGAAAATTTTTAGCATTTTGAGATGTTATAACACTGGCATCCTAGAGACCGAAATATGAAATAACTTAGCACAAAATAGGTCCTCGTGGGAAGCCAATGTGCACATTTTCCCACCATCTCTGCCAACGGTGCACTATTCTCAACTACTCCATTTATCTCTAGGGGGCAAATAATGGATGTGTTCCAGCACCCACTCAATTTCGGTGTTTGCGTCTAGCTGAAATAATAATAGATGTAAAATATGGCTCTCTGTCTAAAATTAGCCTCTGGTTAGACACTATCAGCTACCACTCAACATAGAAAATTTTACACAGAAATAAAGTGATTACATAGGTAGAATGATGCGTGATGTCATTTACTCAATCAATAATTCTTTATTCTTTTGGTGCCTACTATATGTAGTATGTTGTACAGTAAGGGATAAAGAAACAAACAGGAATAGGCCCCTGTTCTTAAGGAGTTTATCTTTGAGGTTGACTTTTTAATTTTTTTTTATAGTTTTACTATGTAACTGTAATGCCTCCTGCCCTGAAAATGACAGTTAGGACAGGTTTAACTCACAACAAATATTGTTACCTGTAACCTACTACCACAGTCTCAGGAGAACCCAAAAACCTGGATGTAGCGTTCTGTGGTGTGTCTTTGTCTGGGAACACAGGACAGTAGCTGTTTCCTAAGTTCTAAACACAGGACCCGTAATTCACATATGTAGGCAAAAGTGATTCAGGCTAAGTATGTGTTCCTTTCAAAGCACTAATTTAGGCAAATACCACTTTTTTTTCCCCCCCCAAATAGCATTTAGTCACAAAATATTTTAGAAAAATATCAACTTTCTGTTGAGGAGAAATCATTTAAGGGCTGGGCTAAAATTTCAGAGGAAGACTTTTGTTTCTTTCTTTTTTTTTTTTTTTAAAAAAAAGTCACTTTATAAAAGAGAACAGATGGTTTCTAACGTATCATATTTACCCATTTCCCCTCCCTAATTTTCCATTTACCCCAAATTCAATTTTTTTTCTTGCTGCCTCTTTAAGCCCCTCCCATATCCTCAGAGCAGCTTAGGTGTGTTTTGTGAATTCATTTAAGCTCTTTGTTCCATTTGTCATATTTAGGGCAGTAACAGTTTACAAGAAGCAAAACACATTGTAAGTTAGTCATAATTATTACACTCAAATGCATCCTCTCCCTCATAATGGAGCAGAGGTGTAATATGACAAAACAGAATTTTCTCAATCCAAAGCTGCCATGCTTATCTGTGAGCCAGTGAACTGCCCTTCACAGAAGGCATTGGCTCTTGTTCTTTAAGGATGATGCCTTTATTCTAAGAAAAGTACAAAGAAGGTGAGTGGTAGTACAGGGAAGAGAAAACTGAATTGATTCATACACTTAAGCTCTAAACATGGCCAATATCTCTTAGTAGCCGAAGTGAAATGGTAAATACTTTGGGTTACATAGTTTTCTGACAAAGTAAAGGCAAAGCATACTCCTAAGTAGAAAGAAAGGACTCTGAACTTTTAAACTCAAGCAAGCAGTCATGGAGTGACAGGCTCTTTGGCCTTGCCTGATCACAGTGTACATGACAGAAAGGCACGATGGCAGCGCATGTATTGTCTTTGTCCATTTCTCCTATTTTATTAAGACCCTAATCATACCATCTTCAGGTTTCTTCCACAGTTATGCATAAATGAGTGACTTTGGTCCGTATCAAAGGCCAGTATTTGGTCTGTATTACACTTGAAAACACAAAAACCGTGAAGAACTCTTCAAATGAAATCTGATAAAGCTAAAAGCCCATGAGGATCAGTTCAACAAGTTGCATCAGCAAAGACCTCTCTTTGTTACTGGATGTAGCAGATCCAGGCCGCAAAGGAGCTCCCTTAGACTGCTTTAATTAGGTATTTCACTTACAAATGAATTAATTAATTAGAGATAAGCACCTGAAAGCACATTACTCATGTGGTCTAGTTAAAGCTTTAAATAGATAAAAAAAACTGCTGACACCTCATTACTATTAGATAATTTTACACGGGACTTAACACCCGAGATGATTTACCAAACCTCTTGCCAAAACAGCATTTATTCTAATCCCTCCCACACCTTGGGAACCCTTAGCACAAGGATCCTTCAAGAAGATTCAGGGAGAAAGGATTAAAGCAGGAGCTATGGTTACTGTGGCCTGTGTTTCTTCATCAGTTTTTCTTTCAGACATAGTGAAATGGCCTGAGACGGCAGTCCTTTTCCATTCTACCTTGGTCTGACTCGTCTGTTTTCTGTTGTCTAATAACTCCATTCAATGGCACAGTCATTTCTGGCAGCCTCCAGCTAGAATCAGAGTGGTGGCAGACATACTCAAGAGCCAATATGGAATGACTCCATTCCCCCAAAAACAAGCTGATTGCAATTTCAATATCGTCTGCAAAAGTAGATAAAAAGGCAAGCATGCAAACAAAAGACCTTTAACCTTGTATTGGATAGAGTGACTCCCAGTTTTAAGCACACAAGGAAATTCTTACCTACAGATAAAATTTTAGTGATATTCTTCCCATTGTTTTTCATATATATGAAATGAAACATATGTATAAAAAATATTTGGATATATGTAACATATGCATATATTATATATGCAACATATGCATAAATTATATACATGCAATAATTATATACATTGTTGGTGGTCAGTTTTAAGGGAGAATATAGAGTACTTTGATCCTAATAATAGAACTTATAAATGTACCTTAAAGGAAGTCACCTCCACTCCCACAGTAACTTCTAGTTTTACAGCAGTACTAAGAGCTCTGTGCTTATTCCTTTATCAAGAGCACTGCTTTTTGATCTGTTGCTCCTCCATACAACTTCTAGACCTCCTCCCTACGTCTCTCCTTCTTCCCTGATCCCAAAGATGATGACATGGGGGAAAGGACCATTCATCCTGTACTGTCCTCTCATCCTACCGATCCCATAGCACCTGTTCTTTCTGCTCTCCCCCATAAATTTATTTGTTTATTTTTAGAGACAGGGTCTCACTCTGTCACCCAGACTGGAGTGCAGTGATGCAACCTTAACTCACTGTAACCTCTGTCTCCCAGGCTCAATCAATCTTCCTGCCTCATCCTCCCAAGCAGTTGGGACTACAGGCACAAGCCACACACTGGCTAATTTTCTTGTTTAAACATTTTTGAGAAACGAGGTCTTGCCATGTTGCCCATGCTGGTCTCAAACTCTTGGCCTCAAGAGATCTTACTGCCTCAGTTTCCCAAAGTGTTGGTATTACAGGCATGAGCTACCACACCTGGCCTACTTTTTAATGCTTCTATCATCCTCCAACTTATTAACTTTTTAAAAATATAAACATACATTACAGGGGAAAGAATAAAACAAGGAACACCCACATACCAACCACCTAGAGTTAACAATGGTCACTTTTGCTTCCCCTGTCCCTCTGTTTCTCCTACCATTTGAAACTAGGTAGCAGATTTCTTGAGACTTCATTCCTGAACACTTCACAGTATCATCCCTTTGAAAGCAGAAACATAAGCTTACGGGTTCAATTAATTAATTTCTAGCAGATTTAGTGAGCTTCAGCAGTTTTACTTAAACATTTGTTTTCATTTTTCTTGGGCTATCTTCCACCTCAAAGAAACAAAACACACACATACATGCACATCCCCACCCCCAAAACCAAGCCAGTAGCTGAAATACAGGTTGCAGCATAATATCTGAGGTAACGTTTTTGTAAGGACTGCCCACACGATGTTGTTCACCTGTGTGGTGCCTTTGGCCTCCTACTAGAATCATTGACATCTTAGAAGAAAGCATCCAGGCTGCTAACCCTGTAGGGAATAGCTCTCCTGAGAATGTCAGACTTGGCCAATTATGCAATTGTTTTGGGAATTTTACCCCTGGGCACTGGTTTGTCTGAAGAAGCCCAGCAGTAATGAAAGTCGACAGGATTCCACCCACAAGGGGAGTTTTGTCCTGGAAATGGTGTCGGGCATCTCTGGAAAGACCTCTGCTCAACCTTCACCAACCAGGGCAGCCTGAGCAACAGCAGGAAGCAACGGTCTTTCCCTCACCTAACTGGAGTCAGGGAGGGGGTAACATTATCAGCATACACTCAGTATTTAGGCTGAGCCACTGGAATTAAGGGATTTTGGGGATTGGGGTGTGGCGGTGGAAGATGGGAGCAGCTCACAGTCCTGCCTAAAGTACAAGGGAATCTTAGTGCTCTCTTCCTTTTCTGGCCATTCCTACTATATCCCCCATTCTTTCTTCCCCATCTCCCAAGAATAATGAAAGCTAACGTTTATGTATGACTGAGAGGCAGTGCAGGAAAGTGGTCAAGAGCTTGGACTCTGGGCCACACTGCCCAGGTCTGAGTCTCAGTTCTGTCATTTACTCAATATGTGATGTTGGGCAAGTTACTTAACCTGTGTGCCTCCATTTCCTCATCTTGAAAGTAGGGATGGTAACACTACCACATATTTCCTGGGAGCTTGGGAAGATTAAATAAGTTAATATATGTAAAGCGCCTAGAACAGTGCCTGACACTGTTAGCTATATTTTTTCATTTACTAAGCATTTACTTTATATAAAGCCCTTTTCATGCTTCAACTCCTTTAATCTACCAATAACAACAACAACAAAAACATAAGAAAAGGCTATCAGGACGGGCATGGTGGCTCACACCTGTAATCCTGGTGCTTTGGGAGAACGAAGTAGGCAGATCATTTGAGGCCAGGAGTTTTGAGACCAGTCTGGGAAATACAGTGAGACCCTGTCTCTATAAATGTTTTTTGTTTTGTTTTGTTTTAACTAGCCAGGCTTGGTGGCATATACCTGTAGTCCTAGCTACCCAGGATGCTGAGGTGGGAGGATTACATGAGCCCAGGAGTTAGAGGTTACAGTGAGCTATGATAGCACCACTGTAACCCAGCCTGGGCAATAGAGCAAGACCTTGTCTCTAAAAAAAAAAAAAAAAAAAAGCTATCATTACTCTCATTCCACAGATGAAGAAAATTAAGTTCAGATCAAGTTCACTAAATTTCCAAGATTTCCCAGTCAGTAAGTGGTGGGACCACGATTTGAACTCGGGCAATAGGTCTCTAAGGTCACATCTTTGGCCATTCAGCTCTGTGACTTCCCAAGTCAGGACACAAGAACCACCAAGTTACTGGTTAGGGACTACTTCATTCTCATAGGCCTTGATAACCATTCCCTTCCCTACTCCATAACAGAATTTATTCATATTTTCCCATCCCAAGCACACACATACATACACATGTACATAGGATTTTTATAAGGCTTATTCCATTAAAGCATGACACCAAGCCACATTACACTTTGTTTTCATTGCTGCACATGCCGAAGCTGACCAATGGTACTGACAAGCCCCTGCCCCAGCTTCCAGGGCCCTGACCACATTCCCTTCTCACCCCCGAATTGCACCACTAGACAAATTCTGAGCTAGAAGCAGTTCCCAACTGTACACCTCTTTGTTAAATAATGGCTCAAAACTGACGTGAGTAGCAGTGATGCATTTCAGAAGTTCAAAAACTAAAGACAGAAGGGAGGAAAGTAGGTTGTTCTGGAAGCTCTGCCAGCTAATTCCATGTAGACAGGTGACCCATATTATGTCAATTAAGTGCTGTTCTAGAGGCATGCTGCCATGGGCTTTTTACAACATTGAACATTTTAGGGTAATGGGGAGATGGATTAAGGTTTGCTGAATGCACCAGGGCCTTTCCTCTGTAATTCAATTAATAGAACAAGGCATGGACTTTTGTTGAAATCCTCCCAGGTGGATGAAAGGCAAAGTGGGGCACAGACTTTTAAGTCCATGATGGTAAAAGTAGGCTCAGGCAAGGCTGTTCAGCTTCCGAAGCGTGTGCCATGTGCAAAGATGGGGCACAGCAGTGTTTGCCCATGACGCCCAGGTAGACAATGAGGGGTAAAAGGTACATGGCTAATAGAGCCTTGAGATCTCCTGCCCCAGCTGAGATCTCTCGCTTCCTGCCCAGTGGCTGTCACTTTCCCCCTTCCTTCCATCCCTGGGCTTTTGAACACTTCCATATCCTGAATTCTGTTTCTCAAAATGCTTCCAGGAAAATGTATCAGTCCTTTATGATTTGGCTCCCAGCTCCTTCTTCAGCCTCATTTCTTGCTGTGATTCCCTCTGACCACATTGGCCTTTTTCAGTTCCTTAGCTAACCCCCCCTCTTTCCTGCCTCAGGGCCTTTGCACACAAACCATTTGTTCGTTTGTTTTCTGCCTGTCATGACTCTACCAGCAACTCTCTTAGTGACCTCAAATTCATCCTGCAGATCTCCATTTTCCTGGCTTCCTGGAATACTAATTTCTAGACATAAACACAGTTTTAAAATATATATTTGTGATGATTGTACATCTTCCCCACTAGACAGGAACCTCCATGCTGGTGCCTGTCTTATTTCACAATTACATACATATGGCTTATCTTAGCTTCCTCACCATGCTGGGAACTATATTTATTCATTGTTGAATGAATCCATGAATGAATGGATCAATTCCATTCTTTCAGAGTCCTGGTCTCTCAATGCATTTCTTTTCTCTATTTGTATGCTGCTTAAAGGATCTTGAGTCTGAGGTATCAACCAAAGCAACAGTGGGATTTTCAAAAAGAAATGGTTGTAGGCTGTTGGGAAGAACTGCAAGAAGCCAGCTTTCCATAATCCATTTCTCTTCATTTCTGGCTATTAGTGCCTTCATCAATGCGCAGACAGATGCCTGAAGATGTCAGAGTTTAGCTCATTAACAAATGAGGTATGTAAACATCCTCAGTGTTCCTACTCAAGGGGGAGAAGTCAAATTTGGGCCCTGGAGCTACATGCAGCTCTGAAGGGCTGCTTCTGCCTACGAATCAGCCACTCACTGGGTCCTTTATGCAATCCCTGATGGTTACTATGATCTTACAGCAGACCCTTTATTTTCCTTTTTGGCCTTAAACTCCTCTGCCAAGTACGACACCATGCCTTCCTCAAAATCATCGTAAGGTATATCGAAGTCGAGTGAGGCTCATTTTAGAAGGAAGATGTTATTTTGGTGCCAGTTTTGTCACCATTGTAAAGAGTGTAATTAGGTACAACATTTTTAGCAGATAATTCAGCAATATCTGTTGAATTTTTAATGTCTATACCCTTTCACTTGAAAATTCACCTTCTGAAGATTTGCCCTGAAGAATTCTCGCACAGCACAAAAAGATCAAAAAGATTTATGTACAAACACGATTCATATTTTATTAACAGCTGAAGGAAAAAGCTCAATTGTCTAACAGTAGAGACTGGTTAGATAATTCTGGTAACGTTATTCTATTTGCCAGAGTCATTCAATGGAATATTATGCAGCCAAAAAACAGAATGAATTTTATATACTGACCTTGAAAGATATACATAATATACTGTTAAGTGAAAAAAAAAGATTCAGAATAGTGCAGTTCTTTATTCTATAGTGATATGTAAATATCTGTTAATAACTATGGTTATATAAGAAGTTTACATGAAAATTTTGATTTCTATATTGTACCCTAGTATTATTTACACTTTATAAGTGTATTTTACTTAAATATAACAGTCAAATTTACATTATAAAAGCAAAGGTATAAAAATTTTCTTTAGACAGGTGTGGTGGCTCATGCCTGTAATCCCAGCACTTTGGGAGGCTGAGGTGGGTGGATCACTGGGTCAGGAGTTTGAGGGCCAGCCTGGCCAACATGGTGAAACCCCATCTCTACCAAAAATTAAAAAAAAATAAAAAAATAAAAAAAGCTGGGCGTGGTGGCACATTCCTGTAATCCTAGCCACTTAGGAAACTGAGGCAGGAGAACTGCTTGAATCCAGGAGGTGGAGGCTGCAGTGAGCTGAGATCGCGTCATTGCATTCTAGCCTGGGTGACAGAGCAAGACTCACTCTCTCACTCTCTCTCTCTCTCTCTCTCCCCCCCCCACCCCGTGTATCTTTTTATATATATATATATATATATAAAAAACTTTAAAATATGGGCCGGGCACGGTAGCTCATGCCTGTAATCCCAGCACTTTGGGAGGCCAAGGCGGCTGGATCATGAGGTCAGGAGATCGAGACCATCCTGGCTAACACGGTGAAACCCCATCTCTACTAAAACTACAAAAACATTAGCCAGGCGTGGTGGAGGGTGCCTGTAGTCCAAGCTACTCGGGAGGCTGAGGCAGGAGAATGGCGTGAACCCGGGAGGCAGAGCTTGCAGTGAGCTGAGATCGCACCACTGCACTCCAGCCTGGGCGACAGAGACTCTGTCTCAAATAAATAAATAAATAAATAAATGAAAATAAAATATGACAGATCATTTTTATTAACTTGACCAAGAGTCTGTCCTTAGACATAGCACCAGACTTAAAAGAATGCAGCTCTCCATGGTTTCTAGAAAAACTAGGCATTTGGGCCTGTGGTAGCCAGGCTCCAAGATGACCTGCAGTAAGCCCTGCCCTGGTATTCACATCCTGTG